GCCTGCATCCTGAAGAACCAGCCCCACAGCAGCTCCTGGTTTTGGAAAACGCTCTTAGCAGAAGCCTATCTGCTGCTCACTGAACTCTTGCTCATTTTCACTTCATTTCACACCCTCTTATTTATCTGCTGCCTTAATTACCATTTTTATGGGCCTATGTGTTCTTACCCAAAGGCATTTAAACTTGAGAGTATAATAGATTGCGCTGTGAAAGTAAATAGCTGTTTATTACTGATCCCCGTTAATGTGGGCACTGCCACATCATTAGCCATGTGATAACGTGCATGACATTTGTGGCGTAGGTTTCCCTGCAGATTGATGCTTTTCTGGCTTTGCACTTGACATGACATTTTGAGGAAGAAAAAGAGAGCAAAAATATTTAAAAACTTTCACAAATAGTAAAAGAATAAATGCAGAAATCCTACTAACATTAGTCAGGCATTATTCTGCAGGTACATGATAGTAACTTCCATGTTTTTCCTTAGAATTSCAATCTTGATGCTCTTTTCCTTTCCCATCCTGCTCTTTTTCACCAGTTACTACCCAAATACCGTTTCTGTTTTTCCTAGCAGGAATGTTCAGGGATGTTCCCTAAAAACTCAGCTCTATATCTTGCGATAGGATCCCTATGAAGCATCTTGTTTGTGACTGCTTGATAGGATATTTAAAATGTACTTTCTCATATATCTCTATGTTCCCAGGGTTATTTGTACCTCTGAATATAAGGATTCATAATATTGGCAAATTAATGATTTTAACAGTCTCAGGAAGAAATAGATAAGAAGTTCTTAGCATATTTTAATTGAAGTTGCCCTAGTATTGAAAACCTTTTTAATATAGTTGATTAAAATGGAGTTATGAGTCAATTATAAAACTGTATTTAGAAGATGGCGTTAAGTCTACTTAAGTTACTAAATGTTAATGACTGTTGCTAATTCAAAATTGTTTTAAAGTGTCAGCTTGGATTTGCTATCCCTTCAGATGTAGAAGGCAGCTCCARCAACAAGGTTCCTCTTTGCAGCCCTGCTGTGCACCTCTTGTATTAGTTGAAGTAAAACTAGTTAGTAAAGTGATGTATTAAATGATGACCTGAGTGTGGAGCACTGAAGTCCCACCCTAACTTCATCTGCTGTGAGATATTAATCACTAGCTTACTGTAAATGCAACTGAGGCACCACCTGAATCACTTTARTCTGAGCCCTGGAAATACTTCAAGAGTGCCTTTTATCTTAACTCTGAATTTCCGTGTTTTTGTGGGTTTAAAATGTGCTCAACACTATTTGAAATTAAATACAGGGATGGGGTGGATGTGGTTTAGTGTGAATATATTGAAAGAGCAAGAATGGAATATATGAATGCCGTCCTTGGGAATATAAAGTACTCGGTCATGCTCCAGCCTCCTCCTCAGAGGCAGATCCAAATAAATGCTTCATGTGGTTGCAGTAGGAGCTCCTGAAAAATGAAGGGAATAAACTTTTTCTGGTCGGGCTGTTAGTCATTCAGTCCATTTCTCATCTCTGTTGCATGTCACTGTAGCAGTTTGAGACTGCAGCAATAGATTTCAGTTTAAACTTTCTGCCAGCTTTATATCTTGTTATGCAATTTACTTCTTAAAATTAAGAGCACATGTTTTCCTTGCAAATAACATGCAGTACATTTTATTGGTGTTTTAAATAGGCCAAAGTGACGGAACAACCTTTTTTTTCTTTTTTTTCTCTCTTTTTTTTTCTTTTTTTTTTTTTTTTTTTTTTTTTTTTTTTTTTTTTTTTGCTTTCAAGTCTATTTTTTCCCTACAGGCAAATTGCTGTGGGCTTATGACCCACCCGTTTTATGACACTATTTCAGCCCAGATATTCTTAGTTACTCTAAGTTACTCCTTTGAAACAGAAATAGAAATCTCCAACTTAGCTGGTAGTTTCTTCAGCTCTATGACTGACATATGTGCCATGGAAATCCATATGACATCTCTACCCTGTCACACACTTGATGTATTTTTGTTCTAGCTGGGATATTCTTGAAGATATTGTTTTCTTCCTGTTTGTTTTCCTTTATGATGATTAGCAGTCGTTCTTTTTCCTGTTTGGATTATGCTGCTGTGCGATGACTGTCCCATGGAATCATTATGAACCTCAATGTTTTTTATTAAAAAAAAAAAAAAAAGTTTAGTGTCTAAAAATGGCAGGAAGAAGCTGTAACATTGTGGCCCTATTATGTACTGTGAAATCTTTTTCAATGTCTAAGCCTTATGTTTAGCAGCTAACCAGTTCTGTTGGGGTGTCTGACATTTGTATTTCTCACAGTAGTTCTCATATGCAGGTTAATGCTGTGGCCGTGTGAACAGTTTGGCAGGCATGGTCCAAAAACCTAGGTTGGGCAGCTAGAAAAATTGACTAATTACTACTGATAACCAGGGTTTACTTTTATAGTCAGAAAAGGGAACCATCAGGCTGTCACATCTCAGACGTGACAAGTGAGATTTCATAATTGCATCTTTATTTTTTTCCCCCTGGTATTGCTAAGGAAGGCCAGTTGCTCTTAAGTTTTMTATTTCATGGATGTTTCACAACTGAAATATGTCATCTTAGGCTATTTCTGCAAATGTTAATTCACCCCTATTTAAGTGTAATAGTGGTCTATTAAACCTGGCGTCTGGAATAGCAGCATCTCAGTGCTGGAAAGTTTGGGATTCATTTCCTTCAATAGTTTTAAGATATCCATGTCACAAAGTTGTCGTATCCAGCAAGTTGATGACTTGTAAGCTACTTTTGCCAGGGACTTTGTTTATTGGGGGGGGGGGGGAAATCTGGCTGTGAGAACTAGACTTATTTTAAAGTAATTGGGGATCACAGGCACAGTTCTTGTCAATGTAAGCTTTTTCCAGTCAGTTTGGAGAGATTAGATGTCTCTTAACATCATCTTACTAGCAGTGAAGTTGCTCCAAAAGGACTCCTTTAATCATATTAGTTTCGCTGCCATCACCCCGTCTTCAGTCTTTCTTCTTTCCTAATAGAACCGAATCGGGTTTTGCCATCTATTAGGTCCAACATTAATACTCCTTTGCATATTAATTACTGCTACTTTTCTTGGCCCGTTCAGCCCCCCGTCTCTTGACTCCTCTGTTGAGAATCTGCATCTTTAGAGTCTCCCTGTGCCACTAGCAAGTCTTATATGGTGCTATTAAGTTTTCTAATGCTCTTGTATCAGAATTACTGCATGCAGAATGAAGCAAAGCAGGAAGAAATAGCGCTCGACYCTGGATTCAGCCAGGGTCCGTTTTGGCACTGACATGATTTGTGTGAATTTTCATTGCATTCTGAGAGGTTGTCGTGATTCCTAATCCTAAATGGTTTGTCAAAGCTTTTGGGGATCTTCTGAGAGATGTAGTAAGTTTAAGAAAACTTTTACTTAAGGGGCGAGGGTGGGAAAGTTCAGTTAAATATTTGCTTAAAAAAAAAAAGAAAAGAACTAAAAAGTCTATTGTGCATGATGATTATATACTAAAATGTACTTTAGCTTGTGACTGTATAAAATTCTATTTAAAAATTAAGTGTGTGTAGAGAAAGTAAAAGAAGACAAGGAYGGAGTGCGTATTACACTCTTTAGGACATATGTTTAAAATAATACTGATATAGCTAAAATATGTGGCCTATGTTATACTTCTGTATACAAATGACGTGCTCATCTCTACACACACACACAGAAATTTACCTTCGGCGTGCTGGGGAATGATGCCAATGTGTAATTAAGAAAGCATGGAAGCATAAAGCCACTCTTTGATAAGTTTCTGAGACAGTTAATATTTTATTATTTAATACATGTTTTATCCATGATAGTCTAATGATACCGTTGAAGATTTGAAGGGAGATATCGTTGTGGCTTTTATAACACCATATAGTTCAAATAGTTTGAAAAAATAGGCAGCCTTTCAACCCTCAATTTTCTCTCTTGGATCGCAGTATTTATCATAGCAATGTGTCCTGGTATATGAATGTACTGGGCAATATTTCTGATGTAGTCAACCACTTCCCAACTTTGGTCAGGAAAGAATATTTCATTTTTCAAAGATATGTTGTAATGTGGTTCTCAGACATGGCAAATAAAGAGTTTAGCTGAATTACAGATGCTATAGTAATAATGTTTAAAAAAGAAAAAAAGGAGTTGGGCCTAGATCAACTCTAGAAGCAATTACTCGCACTCAGAGCCAATGGGATTTTAAAGAACAGAGTAATCTTAAAGCAGGTTTTCTTAGGAAACCTTCAGTAAATTTGAAGCGAATCCACTGCTGTGCATGATAGGGCATTGGTTTGTCACCTTTGCTGTTACCSTATCTTTTATGAAAGGGAATTGCCAAGTTGCTTGGGAGAAATGGAAAAAATAAGGGGGGGAAGGAAGTAAACTATAGAAATATTGTATTTTATTCCTTTTCAGACCTATATTTATGGATTGAAACATCCATATTTGCAAGATCAGTATATTGCAAGTAGCTGTAAGGATGCCAGGTGGCTTCAGAGATGTAGGATGCACCTTGTTTAAGAAGCTGCAAAAGAAACACAATTAGAAAAATAACTAATGCAAGTGTAAACCTGAAGTAATGCAGCCCTTGCTGCTCTACTAATGTTACGGGGGGGGAAAAAAAAGCAAAGATGCTCAAACAAAATGAGCATGACTTTGTTTGTAGTGCATGTTTTATAAGTGCATGTAATGCTTGCTGTAATTTTATGCAGAATTGGAAGAAAAACCAAAAGTAGGAAATCTGGGAAGGAACAAAGARATATTTATGGCCCAAACCTAAATTTTTTCCCCTGTTGCCTTTAGAAAAACTCCCTGTTGTGTCTGTGCTTTGGGCAGGAGGGAGCCACATTCATCTACGAGTAGGAAGAGGAGGGCAAGAGGAAGAAAAGAGGCAAAGGAGAAAGAGAGAAAGAGAAAACCCTTTCCCTACCCTAACTAAAAGCTTGTCTGAGGCATTTTTTTTCACCTTGCTCTGTTCTTGCTTCCAGGTTATGTGTGACATGGAGGCCCAGATCCACAAGCTGAGGGAAGAGCTGGTGCAGGTAAAGGCTCAGCGGAAGCAGCAGCTCGTGGAGCTGAGCGTCCTACGCGAGGAGGAGAAGCAGAGGGCAGCGCGAGAGCACGAGGCGGCCGTGAGCAGGCTCAAAGCAGAGGCGGAAAAAATGACATTAGACCTGCAGAAGGCGCATGCTGCAGAAACCGAGAAAGCCCTGGAAAAGGTAAGAGGAGCAGTCGTACCAAAAGTCACATAAATAATGTTTTTTTTCTTTTTTTTTTTCTTTTTTTTTTTTTTTTAAGGAAAAATGTTTAGGGCTCACTTGGGTTTATAAAACAAACATGCACCATGTGGCAGCAGAAGGGATTTTAAAAAATTCAGGTGATTCCCCAGGTAAAGCTAGCCAAGGACTAGGCTAATCATTTGTCTTCCATTGGAATACATAGAGCAGGAAGGGGAGGTTCTGCTTAAATTGGCTTTTTTCCCCTCTGTATCAAAAAGAGGATAGGTCCTTTAGGGGGGCAAAGGTTCAAGCTAAACCACCAGGCAAAATGGGTCTGATTACTAGCAATGCTTGGTCTGCTTTTGCTTGCTCGTGTGTATTTTGTCAAAAAAAAAATATTTGTGCAAAAAAAATATTTGTGCAAAATATTTGCTGCCTCCTCAAACCGACTGCGGAGGATTGTCCTTTACAGGCACGAGGAATTCAAGTATTTTGCCACATTAGGATGATGGCAACTTGAGCACGTTAGCATTATTTCAAAACCCAGGCTTAAAACACATACTTAATATTTATGGTAAACTCTGCATCTCCGTAAGCATATACTTGTTTAAGGATCTTTTGCATGTATTAATGTAATAAAGGATACGTTTTCTTGCAAAGTGATGTATAGTGGCACAAATTAACACTATGCATGTGCTCTTTGAGCGCCTTTGTGGAGCTGACATTTCATTTACCTGCATCAGGTTCTTGGTGTGTAATTTTAAACAGCATTTGGAGGATTATGTTGGAAATCAGCCAGCCTGAAGCCATTAAAATGACTGTGATCAACAATTCAGAATCTTTTCTGAATGTAAGGAAAGCTCTGCTTGGCATAATTATTTAAAGCCAAGGTCACGGAAAGTATTTAAACCTTTGAAATTCATCATTAAAGGATTAATTTTAACTCAGGAAGACATTGTCATTTTTGCTTAAAAATGGAATTTGAATCTCAATTCTTTTCTTTCTTTGATCTTTTTTTTTACATGTGTAGTATAGCAAAAGAAAAGTTAACTTCTTTACATCCTCAAATTAAAGTTACAAATAATCCCTCATAGGAAAATATCTTTAGTAGTCTTGAATAGTCATTTTTAAAAAGTGTATTCCTGACAGAAATTTGTTGGGGTTTTTTTCTATTTTTTTTTTGCGAGCAAAAGTACTAATTTTAAGCTTTGTTATAATTAACTGGTGTTGAAAATGACTTTTTTTTTTTTATTTGGCCTCCTTTATTTTTGCCTAGAGAACAAAAAGCATCATCTTTTCTTTGCTGTGGTCTTTCACAGACATGTGGGAAGACCTTGCACTACTTTCCGATCCCCTTGTGCCAGTCTTTGCATCTGTGTCCCAAAAGAAACACTGGGGAAAGTGGCCACAAAGTCCAAAAGTCCAAGCAGCTTAGTGGGCAAACCCCGTCTTGCGCTCAAAAGTAACAGTTTTAAGCTAAATTAGTTGAAATCCTGATCCTATAAAGTCCACAGAACTTTGAAGGAGGTTTTGTCTTATAAAAGAAAAAAAAGCAAAAAAAAAAAAAAAAAGCACCTTAATTGCAATGTGAATCTTGACGCCAAATCTTTGATTCTCCTAGCAAATCTGATGACTTTGTAATTTAGGATAAACGGCAGAAAATCTGTCTTAAATTAAGATGATTCTTTTTGCCACCCCCGTAAGGATTGCTTAAAAATGCAATGGGAGGCTGAATTTTGGTGCTTGGTTGTGATCCGATGACTCGCCGGATTTCCTGAAGGTCACTCCATTCCCAAATGAGGGATCTGACTTTTCCGTGGCCTGTTTCTGAGCAGTATTGATTTCTCTATGTGCTGCTGCTTGCAGTTGTGGGTTGTTGTTCACCTGAATGTGATGAAAGAGGAAAAACTGGTGAACAGAACTTTTGAAAAAGCTCCCACTTCGGCTCTTTTTTAAAGTATGGTGCATTTTTTTTTCACACAGAACTCCAACTTTTCTTTAGTTTGCTAGTTTCTTCATGTCAATTCTATTCAAGATTATGAAAATATTTATATATATATATAGATAATAATAGAGCAAAAATAAATAGAGCAAATATTGCAAAAATGCAATAAACCTAATGTTTCTACTGGGACCTTCATTTTTCCATTGCTTAAAATCTAGCATGTTTTCCACTTTTAAGATAGCACATCAATCATCATCACAGCACTTTATCTGATTCGTTCTGTTTGGGATTGCAGATAGCGCCAGCAGGTTGCTCAATAAAGGTTCTACAGCAATGTTTTTGAGGCTGTGGTTCTAAAAGCATCCATCTCGCGACAGTTATTGCGTCCCGCAATCAGGAGGGGGTGATAAATGGGAAGGTGTTTAACCCATTGCCAAATGACGCTGTGTCACCCGCACTAGAGGAAAGACAACCAGGTCATCTGTTGTTGTGGAAACAATATTGAAGCAAAAGGTCCTTAATTTTCCTGTGAGCCCCTCTGTCGCAGGCTTTGTYTTCKCTTGAACTTCATTTTATTCCTTAAAAACTTTTAACTCCTTAAAAAAATATCTAGAGCTGGTGAAAGTGCACTAGGATGAGTAGGACGGGACTAAGCGCTGGTGGCTCTGAGATGTCTCTGGGGCTCTGCTGGCCTGAAAGCTGCACCCAGCAAAGCCGGGGCTCATGTCCCAGCAGCAGCGGGTCCCTTGGCACAGGGTGCAGCTTTGCCTCATTTTTCTTCTAATTCATCTCCATGCTTGGCCAGTGTCACAGGTTTGGTGAGGGRCTTGGGTGTTGAGTGGATGAGCTGCCATTGCTCTGTTGTGTGACCACCTTATTGCTCATGTGGGTGATGGAGGATGCCGAGGGTCCCCAATGCACAGCCACCCTCATGGTTAAGGACAGCAGACACTAAAATCCTCTGAGATTCCTCCTTCCTCCTGAGAAGCTGAACACAAAGCAGAGAGAAACCTCAGCACTGCGGCATGGAGTCCTTACCATGTTCCTAGGACTTCAGTACTTTSATATCTGTTATCAGTCTCTAACACAAAAATGACTGAAAAATTCTCCAAATTATTTCTTTTATATTAATTAAGGAGTCTTAAAGATCATTTTAGAAGAACAGTTGCATTCAATCACAGAGATTTTTCTTCTAAAGCTCTTACAGATTTAATTTSCTTGCAGTTCTTTATATCAAGTGATTATAGTGTTTTCTGATATGATGGTGATTTTTTTTTATTCCAAGTTGTACCTCATTACGATGAAATGAAACATACACTTTTAAAGAAATAAAAATATAAACCATATATTTTATGGTTTATAAACCGTAGCTCTGCTAATGACCAGTTGCCTCGCRGGGTGGCAGGCGGGCTCTAGGTTGCGCCCACAGCACTTGCAGCATGGGCGCCCACCAGCCAGGTGTAGCCGCACAAACTGAGCAAAACTTAGGCATTTTTTCACGTTTGCCAGAAATTTCTGAGCAACCAACTGCATTTGTAAGTGCGTGCAGATGTGAAGCTTGGCCAGCAGGACTGTTTGGAGCGTTCAGCTGTGGTATTTTCCTGGCAAGGGCAGCGGGTGTTCGGCAAGCGYGGCCCTCGCGCCGCCAGCCCATTGGAGTGGGAGAAAAGGGATTTTTCTCTATCTGAATAATTTTCAACATTTAGCTTTTTTACGACTTATTTTCTATATTTAAATAGAGGGCTTTGACTCATCCTGTTAAATCTTTCGGCAGGTTCCAAGAACATCTAATTCTTTTTCAATGCTGCTTTTCTTGTGGAGAAGTCATTTACATTTTTGTGTATTGACTCTCCTCCGCGCACATATTTGCTTACGGGATGAAATTGTAGCCGAAAAGGAGAGCCAGAGGTTTCGTTGTTAAGCTGCAGTCCTGCTTTCCATCGCCTTGTGAAGCGGGTCCCTTTGGAGGGGTGGTCTCCAAGGCAGGGCGCAACCCGGGCAGACCTTGTTCGTGTGGATTTTAATGATGTAGCAGTTGGTGGGGCTCTGAAGTCTCTGTTATTTTAAACAAAATTTGGCAGTTGCAATGTTTTGTAGTCTCTAGTTGTTAAAATCACTCCACCTACATCTGGTCGGAATTCCACATAAAAGCAAAATGCCCAGGAAATTCAAAAGCTAACATTTAAAGGAATATAAACCAAAGTGCTGCGCTCTGTAAGTGACCAATTCCCTAATTAACAATAACTATTCTCTTATTATTTTGTAATACGATGTATTTCTGTAACAAGGGTTTTTTAACGTTGGGCTTGCTTCCTTTTGCTGGTGTGGAAATAGCTTCAATTCACAGTATCTTTGCTGGCACTCTTGGCAGTACTCACACAGACAGGATTTTGTTCCGCACTATCAGAGAAATAGGAGATGAAGGGCAAGTCTGACATCTTCAAAGATTCGAGAGATACTCCGAGAGACACTTCAAAGTATTTGGTTTCTTCTAAATTCTCCACCAGTTCTCAGATATGTGCAATTTTTTAGGCTGAAATTTCAAAATGTTTGAGTATTGTAGATGCTTCGGCTTAGGCCTGCTCTGTTTGTCATTGCTGTGAATAATCTGAAGAGTTTCTGTTTCTCACCAAGAGAAGTTGGTTAGACCCTCATCTCTTGGCTGTTTTTTCACTATTATCTGACACCTATTACATCTGTTACAGAACTTCTGCTCTACTGTTCCTGAATAATAATAGTTTTGTTATAATTCTGTTGCAGTGTGAATATATTTGCTTGCATTTGGCTTTTGAGCAATTCTAACACACTGTGTTAGTGATTCATTAACTAATATTACTCTAAATGATCATGATATTTTGGCTTTGCTGGAAAAAAATCCGCCAGGAACCTAAAAGACCAAGAAAAAAAGAAACGCCTTTTAAAAAGGAGAAGAATCTATATAGCAAAGTTAGTCCGTAGGCTCAAGAAGTGCTCATTATTTAATCTATCTTCCTAGCACTTTTACAGAGCATAAAAGAAAGCAACTTTTGCAATAAAATTTTCCTCACAGACGAGG